CCGTCCATGCCCCCAGCCCCAACCCCTCAGGCCGGAGATATGGTCGAGGGGTCTGGTTGCAGTAAGGGGCGTTCTCTGACGTTGCATGCCCACCCCCACCTCCCGCATCGTGTTTCAACCTTCCCTTTAAGCAATGGAGAGAGCTGGAGTTGAGCCACCGCCCCCCACCTGCGCAACCCCCTCCCCACCTGGTTTGCTCTTGCCCTCCAAACGTCCTTTTGGGGAGGGGGGGATGGAGCAGGAGAAAAAGAAACTGAAGGGGGATGGGGAGTAGTGGGCTGAAAGGGGGCACAGCGGAGGCGCCAACAGACGCTACAGAGTCAACTGGACAGACACACCTTTTTCTTCAGACACGCACCGACAATGTACAGACACGACAGAGGCACACACATCCTCAGTCTTTTCTTTCTCTTCCAACTTGGACCCTTGTCGGTGGGATTACCAAAACCGCAAGATCCACCCATCTGCCCCGGCCCAGGGCCCGCACCCCGCACCGCCGATCCGCGGACAGCGCCCGCAGGCGCGCAGGTCTCTTTTCTCAGGTTCACGCCGTCCTTGGGCGTGTTCCCCATGGACCCTGAGATCGGAGGATGGGGAGACTGCCCCTACCTCCCCCGCTTTGGATTCCTTATTCTCCCCCTCCCCAGCATGGATTTCTTACTGGTGCCCTGTCAGACCTGGGAGTGCCCCATCCGTTTCGCGATGCGGGCTCCCGCCGCTGCAAATTGTTGGGTAAAACCCACCCTTCTGTCTTGCAGTGTCTCTGCATCCACCTTTCCATTCATTCATTCATTCATCCTTTTCTCCTTGTCCCTCCTTCATTCATTCATAGCCCCCAACCCCGCCCGCCTCGACATTTCATTCATTCATTCCTTCATTCATTCTTTTCCCCGGTGCTCCACTAGCGCACGCCCCTCCAGCCGAGGACCCCAGTGCGCAGTCGCAGGCCGGGAGAACCCCGCATCCTCCAATCGTTGGGCATCCTCCCGCCTCTAGGCGCCCGCCCGCTTCCCCATGAATGAACATTGACGTCAATGGGGCGGGGCAATCCCACGTGACACTGCGCGCTCCCGTTTATAAGGCGGCAGCGGCGCGGGCGCTGTCCAGCGTGCTGAAGCCGGAGCGAGCGAGCCGCCCGGACCCAGCTGAGCCCAGCCCACTGGACGCCAGACCTCGACCATCGGTCCTATCCTAGCCACCTCTCGGAGCCGAGGCGGAAGCGTTCCGACCTTCCCTGTCCCCACCCCGCCTCGACCCTCCTCTCCACCTCCTGCGTCGTGACACCAGCTGGTAAATACTCCGCTGTCTGTCCCTCAACCCTGGCAACGGTGGGTGTGAGGGAGGGTTCTCTCCTAGATGGGGGTGTTGACAACACATCGGGAAGACCCCCGTAAGGGTCTCTGGTAAGTGGGGAGTCGCCGCTTTTTTCTTGCTGCTGAAGTCGCCCACGCACCATCCAGAGTGTCCTGTGGGGAGGGAGCAGAGATTTCCCCCTTATCCTCACTGCTTAGTACGTGGGCGCGGGCACCGAGATGGCTCAGAGAAGGGGGCGAGGAGGCACCGTGGGTGCGAGGGTTGTGGGCATTTTCCCATCTACACGACTTCAGAGATCGGCACATCTTCGTTCTTTGCGCCTAAAGGTCCCTCTTCTGGGAAAGGTTAGGGGAAACCCTGATTAAAGGTGGGGGAAAGGAACGTAGAACCAGAGAGCAGAAAATTCTTAAAGAAATCCTTTCTTTCTTTCCACCCCTCCTATTTTTCAGTCTCCGACAGTCCCCTGGTCATGAAATCGCTCAGGTTGCCAGTTTCCGCCCTCTTCTGCTTCCTTCTACTGATTAAGGGGCTGGGAGGAGCGCCCCCCGGGCGCCTTGAGGCACAGTCACCTCCCCTCAGCTCTGAGCATAAAGAATCCGTAGCTGGGGACGCAGTGCCCGGGCTGAAGGATGGTCGCACCCCAGAGGTCCGAGCCGCTCGAAATTCAGAGCCGCAGGACGAGGGAGAGCTTTTCCAGGGTGTGGATCCCCGGGCGCTGGCCGCGGTGCTGTTACAGGCACTTGACCGCCCGGCCTCGCCCCCGGCGCCAGGCGGCTCCCAACTGAAGCCAGCGGAAGAAGCAGCAGAAGCTCTGTTAACTGAGACCGTGAGAAGCCAGACCCACAGCCTCCCAGCGCCAGAGACTCATGCGCCCGCGGCCCCGCCTCGCCCTCAGACTCAGGAGAACGGTCCCGAGGCGAGCGACCCCTCCGAGGAGCTTGAGGCGCTGGCTGCCCTGCTCCAGGAACTGAGAGATTTCAGTCCGAGCAGCGCCAAGCGCCAGCAGGAGACCGCAGCAGCAGAGACGGAAACTCGCACGCACACGCTGACCCGAGTCAACCTGGAGAGCCCCGGGCCCGAGCGCGTGTGGCGCGCTTCCTGGGGAGAGTTCCAGGCGCGTGTCCCGGAGCGCGCGCCCCTGCCACCCCCGGCTCCCCAGCAATTCCAGGTTCAGATGCCCGAGAGCCGCCCCCTTCCCGAAGCCCACCAGTTCGGGGAAAAAGTGCCTTCCCCCAAAACACACCTAGGCGACGCATTGGCACCCCTGTCCAAGGCGTACCAAAGCCTGGGCACCCCCTTCCCCAAGGCGCGCCGGCCGGAGAGCTCACTCCTGAGCGGCTCCGAGGCGGGGGAGCGCCTTCTACAGCAAGGGCTGGCTCAGGTAGAGGCAGGGAGGCGGCAGGCGGAGGCCACCCGGCAGGCCGCGGCGCAAGAAGAGCGGCTGGCGGACCTGGCTTCGGACCTGCTACTCCAGTATTTGCTACAGGGTGGGGCCCGGCAACGCAGCCTGGGGGGTCGGGGGCTGCAGCCGGAGAAGGAGCGAGAGAGCGAGAGGGAGGAGGAGGAGGTGGAGCAGGAGAGACGCGGCGGTGAGGAGAGGGTGGGGGAAGAGGACGAGGAGGCGGCGGAGGCGGAGGCGGAGGCGGAGGAGGCGGAGAGGGCGCGGCAGAACGCGTTACTGTTCGCTGAGGAGGAGGAGGACGGGGAAGCCGCCGCCGAGGACAAGCGGTCCCAGGAGGAGATGCCTGGCCACCGTCGGCAGGACGCCGAGCGGGCCGAGGAGGGCGGAGAGGAGGAAGACGACGACGAAGAGATGGACCCACAGACCATCGATAGCCTCATTGAGCTGTCCACCAAACTCCACCTGCCAGCGGATGACGTGGTCAGCATCATCGAGGAGGTGGAGGAGAAGCGGAAGCGGAAGAAGAACGCCCCTCCCGAGCCCGTGCCTCCCCCGCGGGCTG